CTCCTCCTCATCTCCTCATCATCTCCTCCCCATCTCCTCCTCATCTCCTCCTCATATCCTCCTCATCTCCTCCTCCTCCTCCCCCTCCTCCTCCTGCTCCTGTCCCCGCCCGTCGGTGTCCAACCCCCCGCACTGGCCTGCCTCGAGGCTGGCCGCGCACAGCTCCAACCGTCCCTCTTGGCATCGGCTCCGAGGGTCTGGTGCCCCGCGCGTGCAGCGAGAGAGAGAGAGAGAGAGAGAGAGCGCGCCGAGGCCGCGCGAGTGGGTCCAAGGGGGGGGGGGGGGGGCTGGCCGCCGAGACTCGGTCGAATCGTGCGGTACCCACACCCCTTCGGCGTCGCATAATGTGGAGGGATGCAATGGAGGCCCATGCCAAGAGACACCCTGCCTGCCTCAAAGGTGCCCCCCTGGGTTCCCTGGCTCTCGACGGTTTTGCTGTGGAGAGCGTGACGCTCCCTCACCTCAGATCACAGTGGATGCGCCCTGGGGTCTCGGGGTTGGGTTTCCTGGGAGAGGCTTCTTGTGGTCGCGCTCCTACTGTAAGTGTGGGGGGAGGAAGGTGCACTTTAGGGGGCTCTGAAGGCCCCCTTCTGGGCCCTGGAGGCCCCCTCTAGGGGCCCTCCTCAAGGGTCCCTGTTCTGCAGCCCCTCCTCCTCACCTCCTCCTCCTCCTCCTCCTCCTCCTCCCCCTTGTCGCCCCCACATTACTTGTGTCGCGGCCCACACCCCTTCGGAACACCCGAGCCCACGGATAAGGAGGAGGAGGAAGAGGAGTGCGAAGACGTGCTCGCGCCCGCCACACACACACAAACACACAAACACACACACACAACCCACACACACCACGCACGCACGCACGCACGCACGCACGCACGACACGCACACATACACACACACACACACTCACACTCACACACACACATACACCCGCGCGCCACGCACGCACGCACGCACGCACGCACGTACGGACTTACACACAACACCCACCCACCCACCCACCCACACCCACACACCCACACCCACACCCACACCCACACCCACACACACACACACACACACACACACACACACACATAGCGGCGGATGGTTTCTGGATCATGTTCTGCCTGCAGGGCCCCTCGCTGGGTCGCCGTGCCCAGGGATCGTCAGGAACGACTCATGACGAACAACTGGCTCCTGGTGATCCAGCAATCTGGGCTATACACCTCCAGCTGGGTAATTCCGCCAATGCTTTGTGTGTGCTGTGCTGACTCTATGCTGGCGCGCACGACCCGCGCATGCACCGAGGAAAGAGGACAGGCAAACGATAGTCTGGCGAAAAAGGCAGCACTGAAGCAGCATGTTCAGACGCAGTGCTAGTAGATGGAAGAGCAAGAGAAAATAAGAAGTACAACAACTCAAACACATACCAGACCCAAGCCAGCGTTCCAACCCAAAGCCAGCATGCGCATCCGAGCAGAGCATCACGTCTGTTGCACAGACCCAGGCTGCCAAGCATATGTTGTCCATGTGCCCAGTCCTGCTCAGATCACGGAGAAGCCGCAGGAAAGGAAGATGCTGAGAAGCCGCAGGATGAGGAGGAAGAGGAGAAGGGGGAAGAGCACGCCTGGGCCTGACCCCGGATCTGAGGGCCCGGGCCTCGAAGCTGCAAGAAGCGAGATCCTGGATCCAGACCCCCATCGCAATCGCTGTATCCTCTGGCCTGGTCCCTCTGCGCCTTGTCCGCGCTTCGCATCGCCACCGTGCTGGCAGAAGGGAAGGCCGACGAGGGGACGAAGGAGCTCTGAAGGCCACAGCGGGCCTGCGCCACGCATAGGCTCCCGGACCCAGATGCTCGGGGAACGGCCCGAAAATCGCGTGGTCTCGTCGTTTCGGCGCCCTGGCTCGATTGACCCCAAAATTGGGGTTGCCCTCAAATCCATGAAACATGCGACGTCTGCTCTGTAGATCCGACCAGGAAACGAACTCTGGGATGGATCAGCTCTGTGGTCGATCCCCTATTCGACGGCTGCCCCACCCGCACGCAGGTCGGGGCAGCCTCCAGGATAGGGCGACGAGATCTATGCATATCCACTGTTCCTGGCCAGGCCAATCCTGGGCCCAGGAGCGGTGTATACGCCCTCCTGGCCTGGCCAGGGAGGCATATACACAGCTCCTGGGCCCAGGATGGGCCTGGCCAGGAGCAGTGGATATGCATAGATCTCGTCGCCCTACAGGAGGGGCGAGAGGCACCTCGAGGAGCGGACGGTCGAGGATCGGATCGCTGGCTTTTTGGCAAAGCCAGCAGGACGGACGGAGCCCCGCACCCGGTCTCGCCGGCAGGAAAAAAACAAAAAACGCTGGCTGGCCCGGCGGAGCGTGCCGCACCTCGGCAGGGCGATCCTCGGAGGCCCCTCGCGTGGGCAAACGACGAGGCACCGATGCCGCTGCCCACCGCCCCGATCCTCCTCCTCCTCCTCCTCCTCCTCCTCCTCCGCCTCCTCCTCCTCCTCCTCCTCCTCCTCCTCCTCCGCCTCCTCCTCCTCCTCCCTTCCTCCTCCTCCTCCGCCTCCTCATCCCCCTCCCCCTCCCCCTCCCCCTCCCCCTCCTCCTCCTCCAGCTCTCCCGGGGTGCGCTCTGACCAGGATGGCGAGGCGAAGCCGCGGGCGAGGGCCTCCCTCCCCCGAGGCCCACAGAGGCGAGATCGAGGCCGAGGCAGCGGTGCCAGTGCCTTTTCTGAGTACTCCAGATTTCGTGATAAAAGGGAGGGGGTCTCAACCCTCCCAGACGAGCCATTGCAGACCCCCCCCCCCCCCCCGTGGAGAACCCTCCCAAACGTCGTCCCCAGACCCCCCCAGGCCCCTCCAAGACAGCCTGGAAGAGACCCCCCCCCCCGAAATGAGACCCCCCTCCCTTTCTTACGAAATCTGGAGTATCGTTGAGCCGATCCCCGTCCCAAGCGGCGTGGCCTGGGCCCCACTGGCCGATCTACCCCCCTGGATGGGGAATATAGGTCGGTCTCTTCGGGTTTTCAGGGGCGTATCGCCCCCTGGGGTGTCAATGGTTAGTGGGGGTCTCGAAGGGGCTGGGGATCGGTGAAGCGATACTGATGTTCCTCGCCCGACCCCACCCCTAGAACGGCAGTGGAAACGAGGGCGGCACTCAGCTCCACCACGGGTCGAGGCCGGTGCGGAAGTCCTTTAAAGGGAAATTAAGACACACAAATAAATACACACAAATAACATTAGTCCCCATATTTTCCCATATTTTCTGGTTTTCTGTCTTCTCCCCCAATTCCCATATTTTCCCATACTTTCCTGGGAATCGAGGATTAATTGTGTCTGTGTTTTTTTTTCCCTCCTGAGTCCTGCTCGGGCCAGGGGGCCACGGCGATGTCGCCGCTCTCCAGGACCGAGGTGTGGGCGAGCGCCAGCGACAGGGGCGCGGGGCCACGGACCACCTCTGCGGGGCGGGGGTGTAATTATCCATATCCACCGCCTGGGGACTGGCGCTCTGGTGCCCCAGCGGGCGGTGGATATGGATACACCCTGCGAAATGCTTAAGAAATCATGGGTTAAGAAATTCATAGTCTCAGAAGTTGAATAAAAGCCAAAACATGCTATTCAAATCTTAGGGTTTACATTGAAACACTAAGAATAAACGAGACTCTGGCCGAAAATTCAAGTTTTCTTAAGCATCGCCTAAGGTGTATATTTCGGCCCCCCGGGGCCCGAATAGGACCATATTTACCGCCTGCCGAGGCTCCGAAAGCTGACCCTCCGGGCGGCGGTCATGTATAATTTCTCGCCTCGGGACCTTTCCGTTCTCATCGTACTGCGAGCCGTGGCAGGGGCAGCAGAACTTGTTAGCGGAGCGGACCCACGGCACGACGCACCCCAGGTGGGTGCAGGTGGCGTTGATGGCGAAGTCCTTGATGCCGTCCGGCGTGGAGATGAGGTAGTAGGCGTCGCCCTTGAGTCCCTGCACCAGCTCACGGTCGTTGTCCTTGTGTGGCATGCAAGAATTTGGAGTCCCGAAACGGTGCCGTGCGGTGACCTCGAAATCCCCCAAGACCTCACCGCACGGTCCGTCACCGCACGGTCCTGGGACCCCAGAGGCCCCTGTCGCCCGAGACATCCTCGGAGAGCGACTCGAGTCTCAAAACCGTGCGGTGACCCCGAATCCCCACCGACTCACCGCACGGTGTGGTCACCACCCCGTCTGGGGGCACCCGAAAGAATCAATCGGGTCCTGGATGAAACGGGACCCCGGAAGCTTCTCGCCGACTGCGGGCCCCTGGAGCTCTTCCCATGCCCTGGGGCCGTGAAAAAAGAACACTCCGGCTGAAGGACTGATCCTGGGGAAAGCACCGGGTGCCCAGGACCCAGTTTGTTCAGATGAGGCCGTCCACGTGCGGTCCAAGTAGATGGGGTCGGAGGATCGCGCCGCATCGCCGATGCATCGACGACGTCGGCGTGGAGACAAACGGGCTCCGCATCGAGCCGCGTCGCCGATGAATCGGCGATGCGGCGCGATCCACCAACCCCAGCGACGACGACGACGGCGCCGACGAGGACAACGACGACCACGACGACGACGACGACAACGGCGACGATGATGACGGCGTCATCTACGCCGACCGATTCTCGGGGCGTTGCTTGAAGTGGCCCTGGCTCACGGTGGCCACAACTCTCCCGGGAAGGGCCCCACGGCCTCCCGAGAACCCCTTACAAGGCTCAAAGGGCCGAAGGGGGCAACCAGCCTCGAGCTTATCCCTATCCCTGCGATGGACAAGCCAAAGGCGATGACGATCTTAGGGATGTGCCTTCGGAAACGGAGGGAATCCTAAGATCGGCATGGGGACAAGGTGATGCCAAGCTTCGGGATAGGGATGTGTTCCAGGCTGGCAAAGGGGGGATCCAAAGCGGCGCTGAAAGCTGGGGGTACCTTGGGCCAGGACCATCTCCAGCAACGTCAGACATTTTTAGATGCTGTCGCTCCACTCATGTGTCGATGCTGCCCAGAATGCCCGCTGATACAAGTCGACCTTCAGTTGAACTCGAGTCGCGCTAGAGTCGAGACAGAGTCGAGCAGATCCGTCAAGTGGCCAGAGAGGTCCCCCGGAAACGAACCTCTGAACAGTTCGGGCGGCCCCGGACCTCCTCCTGCTCCTCCTCCTCCTCCTCCTCCTCCTCCTCCTCCTCCCGAGACTGCCCACCACGGTGGTCCTTGTGGCCGGCAACCCACTTCTTCAGCGGCACGGCCGCGCCGTTGATGTCGCCCACGGGGGAGGCGCCGCCCCCGCCGCCGCCGAGCTTGGGGAAGAAGTAGAACGCGTACCCCCCGAGGACCACCAGCGCAGGCACGGCGCAGACGGCGACCACGATGAGGTTCATCAGCACGCGCCTCTGCTGGGGTGTGCCAGCACGGTGCGACGACGGGTGCGCGCGGAGGCCTCCAAAACGGAAGCCCGAGAGGCCTCGCCGCACGGTCGGCCCCCAACAAAGGCCCCCCTCTCGGCTGCCCGAGGCGGCCTCGGAGAGTGGCCCCGCGCCGGCAGAGCGTGCGGTGACAACCGCTGTCCCGGCTGACTCGCCACACTGCGCAGTCCCCGAGAGCCGAAATCTTTTGGTGCCCCCCAAACCAGGTGGTGAGACGCCCGGTGGTGACCTGAAATCCCCAAAACGTAATTTCTAGGTTTGGGGACACAGGGTCACCACCGGATTTCGTGATTCCCGGGGCCACCCGCGCTCGAGACATCCTCGAAACACAAGAGATTTCCAAAACCCGGTGGTGACACCAATTCGCCCCAGACTCACCACCGGGTGTTCTCACCACCACGTTTGGGGACCCCCGAGAAATTGCGACAACCCTGCAACCTCGCGACAAAAAAGCACAGCCGGGACGAAAGGCCCCATCGAGCCGCGTCCTTCCTCGAGCCGGATCGATCTGTGAGTGTCCCAGGCCCCGAGGCCGCGCGGAAACGCCAGGTGTGGAAAAGTACGGTGCCCCGAATGTTTGGTTTCTGGGCCGTCGCTTCGCTCCCCGGCGGTCGTTCGGGACGATCAGGGCGCCCCCAGAGCGCTCTCGGCGAGGCGCAGCCACTGGAACGCAGCCCGAGACAGGAGAACCTTCAGGAACCGACAAGAACGCCTGAAAATCCCCAAAGCCACACTGACTCACCACACGGTGTGGTCACAGTACCGTGCTGGGGCCCCCGGCCTCTGCATATCGGGCACGAAGCCGGTGTACTCGCCCGAGCCTAGGAAACCGCCAACTATGCGCCTACACCCATCCTGGCCAGGGCCCCCCGCTGGGGTCAGGACCGGTGGTTACGCCACCCTGGCTTGTGCAGGGAGGCATGTATGCACCGATCCTGCGCCCAGCATCGGCCTGGCCAGGATCGGTGCAAGTGTACCTCGAGGATTGACCGAACACCCTGTACCAAAACACCCTTCAGTGAACACTACCAGGAACACTCCACGTGCGCACGGCACCGAATTCTGGGTGGATCCTATCGGGGCAGCCCATCGACGTCCAAAGGCAACCGAACATATGGGCGAAACGCACGTCGATCAGCGGAATCGACTGAGCACTGCGCCAGAACCCACGACTGCCAAGGCCGAGTGGACTGGTGCAGGGTTCCTCAGTCGACCTGTCTGGGCGGGCGTTCTATCAATGCCCGAAGATAGTCAACTGTGTCCGATCTGGGCGCCCGAGGTGGGTACGGAAAACATGGGCACAATGCCCAACAACACATGTTCTCCCAAACCAGCAGCGGCCGCTGCGGGGCAGGCGGCCTGCTGCCTCGAACGGACAGTACCCGCGGCGGCGCGGGCACTGAGTCCTGTTCAAACTGAGCAGGACCTGCGGTTCTCGAACCAGAAGAAGGGCATACGTCACATAGACTTTTGGCGCTCCGCGCGGACATCTTGGTACCCGCGCTGCCCTGGCGCGCGGAGCGCGCCAGGGGCAGCGTGGGAGGCGCTGCGGGGGGAGGGGGGCCCAGCGCGGATCCGAGACATCCGCGCGGACCGTCGAACATGTATGTGATTATGCCGTTTTTTGTCCTTCGATGTTTGGCATCGTACCCATGTTTTCCGTGCAGTGGGGGCCTGGCCACAAGAAACCTTCAACAAGACACCCAACCCCGAGACCCCAGGACGCCCATGGATTTCTGGTGTGGGAACGTCGCGCCTTCCACAGCAAAAGCATCGACAGCCAAGAAACCCGGGGCACCCTGGAGGCGAGGGGGTTCGGGGTCCACCAGAGGAGGGGGGACCCTGAGGGGGGGTGTGCGTTCGATCCGCTGGCGCATCGAAGTTCCGAAAAACGACGCCCCCCCTGCGCGCCCCCACTGTGGACACCTCCCGGGTCCTGGCGGCGGCCGGAGGCCTCGTTTTGCCTCGCTTTTTTTATTTTTTCTGCGGCTCGAGGCGCCTGCGGACCGAGAACTCCCCCCGCCCCCCTTTGCGAGGTTCCGCAGGGTGTCTCTTGGCACGGGCCCCCGCTGCAAACCCACTCCGGTTGTGCCGATCCGAGGGCCGGAGTTCAGCGCCACCGCGGACTGCGCGCGGCCGGCGGCGGCGGAGCCGGCGCGGGCAGGGGCGACGAAGGCCTGCGACGCGGCCCAGACGCCCGCGAGGAGCGCCAGGGCCGCAAAGGCGGCGGCGCGGCTGTCGCGGACCATGGCGCTGCTCGAGGCCGGGGCGGCGAAGAAGGTGGCCCTGAGATTCCGGCGTCGCACTTTGTTCGCAGCGGGCGATCTGGTTTGTTCGGTGAGCTGCAGCCTCGCCGCAGCAGGCTGGCGCGGCACGTGTCAGAAGGATGCCGCGTACAGGATGCAGGAGGTCCAAGCCTCGGCCTGTCTCACTCGAGGTCGCCGTATGATGGCGGAGCGTGTCCAAACACACATGCCTTGTACAGTACTGCCAACCGCTAACTGGTGGGCGAGTTCTGAGGCAACTGACCGTAACGAACACTCCTGGAAAATCGTTGCGGGGCCCAGGGACCTTCACGGCGCGAAATCTGCCGCTGAGCGATGGGGTCCAGCGTGGCAGTAGAGTTGTTTGACGATGCTGACTTGTTGTTCGTGGCGTCGAATCTCAGGGGAGACCAAGCGAGGTATTATCCTCGTCTGCCTTGGGCCAACGCGGCTGCGGGAGTGGAGGAAGAGGAGTGCACTGGCCAGAGAGGCGACACTGTATTTGGCCAGCCCAAACCACATACGTTACCGAACTGCCGAAGGAATCCCGAAGTCCATCCCGCAGACAGCCTGAGCAACACAACGCATGAGACACGACGCAGACGGGTGCTCAAATGTCAAGGTATATGATCCCGGGTTCCGGGCCCACGGGCCCCCCCCCCCTTCCCCCCCCAGATGGTATGGTCCCAGGATTCCTCGGGCCCCCCCCCAGATGGTATGGTCCCAGAGACGACGACGACGACGACGACGACGACGACGGCGACGACTACGACGACGGCGACGACGACGACGACCACGACGACGACGACGGCTGCGGCGGCGACGACGCCGGCGGCGGCGGCGGCGACGAAGCCGGCGGCGGCGGCGGCGACGACGACGACCATGACGACGATGACGACGGCGACGATGACGATGACGACGACGACGACGACGAGGACGACGAGGACGACGAGGACGACGACGACGACGACCTCTGAACCACCACAGCACCACACCACATCCACAGGGGGGGGGGAGGGGGGCACCGCAGCGCAGCACCACGCCACGCCCACCTCTGAACCACCACAGCACCACACCACATCCACAGGGGGGGGAGGGGGGCACCGCAGCGCAGCACCACGCCACGCCCACAGGGGGGGGCGGGGGGGACCATCGGGGGGGGGGGGGGGCAAATGGCATTAGCATTGGGGGGAGGGGGGGGGGGGGGGCAAGCCCTGGACCAGATATACCACTCGGCCCTCGGAAAGTCCCCACGAGGACCCCAAAGGCCTCACCCGTTGACTTCTTCCCTCCTAGTGGGGGTCGGTGGAATGGCGTGAGCCTCTTGAGTAACGATGCACCCTGGGAGCCAACGCCAACGAGGCAGGATGATCGCGGCGCCTGCACATCGATACTGACGTGGGACGCTGGCGTCTCTGGTGCTTGAGTTCCAAAACCTGTCAATGCCCAGGCCAGCGTAGAAGGGTTCAGCTTCAGTCCGCCAAGGACGATTGCGCTACCAAACAGCACCTAGCGTTTGAAAGAAAAACGATTCGACGAAAACACCCTGGGAACCAGCGTCCAAGAGGCCGGCCGCGAGAAGGAGCGGGAGCAGGGCCAGCGGGGGCAGGCGCGGGAGCAGGGGCACGGGCAGGAGCGCGAGGAGGAGGCAAGGGGGAGGAGGAGGAGGAGAAGGAGGAGGAGGAGGAGGAGGAGGAGGAGGAGGAGGAGGAGGAGGAGATGAGCAGGAAGAGAAGGGGGAGGAGGACGAGGACGAGGAGGACGGAGGAGGACGGAGGAGGACGAGGGGGAGGAGGACGGAGGAGAGGAGGAGGAGGAGGAGGAGGAGGAGGAGGAGGAGGAGGGGGAGGGGAGGAGAAGGAGGAGGGTATCAGAAGGAGGAGGGTAGGAGGGAGGAGGAGGAGGAGGAGGAGGAGAGGAGGAGGAGATGCCAGGCGGGAGCCTCGCGAGTAAAGACGACCTCCTCGCCGCCGCGTCCTCGCCGCCGTCGTCGTCGTCCGCCTCCTCCTCCTCCTCCTCCTCCTCCTCCTCGTCGTCCTCCTCCTCCTCCTCCTCCTCCTCGTCGTCGTCGTCGTCGTCGTCGTCGCCACGGGCAGGGAGCGCCGCGGCCAGGATGGGGCGGAAGGGCGGAGCCGGGCCCGCTGGAGCAAGCAGGGCGGCCACGGCGCGGCGAGCAGCAGCAGCAGCAGCAGGGGACGGCGTGACGGCGGCGAGGACGACGAGGACGAGGACGAGGACGAGGGCGAGGACGAGGACGAGGATGCCCTACTCCTCGTCCTCCTCGGCCTTGTGAACGCTTGCCTCGGAGGAGAGGGGCGAGGACATCCGCAGAAGGGAGTAACGTCAGAGCACCTGCACGGGTGATGCACGCGCCGTCGCCAAAGTCCCCTGCGATTCGCTGTGCTGCAGCCCTGCTTTCTCGCCAGGGCCGGCAGGGGGCATACCCCGTAGCTCAAGGACCGAGCTCCGAGGTGGCCCCGTAAAAGAGGCTCGCTACCTTAAATCACGAGTCCCATCGGAGGAGGACGACGAGAACGACGACGACGAGGACGACGACGAGGACGACGACGAGGACGACCACGACGAGAACGAGAACGACGAGAACGACGAGGACGACGACGACGACGAAGACGACGAGGACGACGACGAGGACGACAAGGACGACGACGACGCGGACAACGACGACGAGGATGTCGACGACGACGGCGACGACGACCAGGACGTGCGCCCGGCGACTGGTGCACAGCGAGCCCAGGAGGACGACGACAAGAACCCATTTTTGCATTATTCGTCAGAACGCCCGTGACCGGCCCCGCCACCACCAACCCTCTCCACCCCCACCTCGTCACATCATGATTCGCGCTGGGGGCCGTCCGGGAATTGGCCATCCCCAGGCGTTTCCAAACGCACGGCGCCGGTGCGAATCACGACATGACTGGCCCCCTCCCCCACGGTCACGCCCGTTGTCGCCAGGGAACATAAAAACGGTCTCAAAATCTACAGCAGACATCGAGCAACAGTAATGGCCTGTTTGTGGGTCCATGGAGCTGCTGATACCATCTCAGGAACAGGAGATTCGTCCAGGGCAATATTTGACAGTCCTGGTGGCCAGAACGGGAATACGAACGACTCAAAATTGAATTAGACAAGACGCCGGACCGATCCTGTCAAGTCTCCCGGCGTACCTGCTCTTCCTGCTCGAGTTCAGCCCCGAGACCTACTTGGGGTGCGCTTCGACAGAAATTGCAAGGCGGATCCAACCGTAGTGGCAAGGGCGCCCCCCAGGAGACCCCAAAAGTCCCGGAATCATTCAAAAACCTTGGACCTCCATCCTCGAGGTTAGAACCGAACCATTCAACATGCGCTCCAAAGCCGTCCCTGGGCTCCTCCTGGATGCACTTCTACCAGAGTGCGGAGGAGCTCCGACGCAAGTCGGGTCTTCGAAGCTGTGTGCCAGCCTTGCTGATTAAACCCATGAGACACGATCGCGACGAGGCTGCATCTGAGGGGCCCGTGCATGCCATACAAGACCATGCCGTTGCCAATTGCCCGTGGATCGGGTGCCCAGCATCAGAGATAGCGCATCATGGCCTGGGGCATGTACGCGGACGAGGGGATTACGGGAACGTGAAGAAACAAAAGAAGGGCCCATGATATCTGGGAGAGTTCGTTGCCCTGGCCATGATATCCACTTCCCCTCGTCCTCACCCGCCTCTTCGCCGCCCCCGTGTGGAAGCACCGCTGATCTTGAGGGCGCGTCTCCCACACCTGCTGGGCTGGCAGGACTTCACCTCAGGCATGAATCGTCTGCCGCGCCAAGGCAGCGACCAGAAACCTGTACATTTCTTTGTTGAATGGAATTGCGCGTTCGGAGCCACGGGGGAAGCCACCGAGCGACCAATCTGAACTGACTGGCCGCCACTTCGGATAGCTTCTGGCGGATTTCATCAGCCGTTTCAGGTTTGTGACGTGCTGGACGCTTTAGGGGATACACAATACACGCCACCAGAAACCACACCTGGAAAAACTACGCCCCGGCGCAACCAGAAACGCCGCAAGAACAATGCGCCAAAGACCACATGGGCGCACTAGGGCAATTTGACAGCCTGCCGGCGGCATGACTGTCGGCAGCTTGTCGACTCCTTGCGAACGTGCCCGCTATGGTAGTCGACAGCCTGTCGGCAGCTTGTCGAATACGGTGGGGGCATTGGATAAGGAACCCTTTGATAAGGAATCCAGGGTCTGGAGACACATGGAACTCCAATCGAGGCTTGGCCATGGATATCACCGCCGCCCTCATCAGAGAAGGACACTCCAGGGTCTGAAGCCTCATGGGCACGATCCTTAACGAACGCCCCCGCCGCACCATGGCGGGCACGTTTGCACACCAGCCCGCGCCGACCCACGATTCAGGAACTGCTAGGGTCGCCGACCGATGCGGCAGGGGCGACAGCAGCGGCGACGCCGGCTCGTTCTCACTCTCGCTCTCTTTCCGCCACCGCGCTTGCACGATCGATATACAAGAATGCTCGAGTGTTCCTTGAGAGGGGAGACCAAAAGGCACCGATGCCGCTGCTCCCGGGACCTCTCCCGGGGCGCGTCCCAACCAGAATTCCGGGGCGGATCCAGCGGTTGCGACGGGGGCCTCCCAGGAAGCCCCGAAAAGGGAAAGCGGGCGGAGGGTGGAGGTATGGATACCTTCTCCTCCTCTGATGAAGTGTCTGGTAGGCTTCACGTGGTTCTTCTACTGTCGACCCCACCCCAACCCGCTCGCGCGCACTCCTCGAACATCGTCCCCGTCCCCGCCCACGATTGCCAATCTCCCGTGTTCTTTGCTCGACTTCTACTAGACGGCTGCGGTGCAGCAGCACACCGCCCCCCCAAAAAAAAACAGGCAGCAAAAGGCCTGAAGACCAGCCCATGGTGGCCCAATGGCCCAATGACCTCCCAGATGCTCCAGTGAGCAATTTACATTGGTTCGGGTAAATTTGCTTGCATGGCGTTCGCCCCTCCTCCCCCCTCTCGCCTCTCTTCAAATGAATGCTAGCGTGCAAGTGCCTTTCCACTCGTCAACTCGTTTGCGGCTTGCTTCAGGTTCAGGCCCCCCCTTTCGATGCAAGCAAACCTGCTGGAGGTTCAAAACAGGCTTCATATGCCCCCGGATGTCCAGAGAAAGCCCCAGCAGACTTCATAAGATCCCTCCACCGAGGCCCGAAGAGGCCCAAACCGACGACGGCCAAGGGTCTGCGTCCGAAATTGTTCGGCTTCAGGTCGCCTCCGGAAAACTGCAAAAGAGCCCACGAGAAGCCTTCCACGTCGTGTCGTAACGCGGTCTGTCGTTATATGTTAACATATAAGATCCGCAAGTATGACATATAAGTCCCGCAACCAATGATATAAACTCCGTGAGTGGATGCAATTGGATACAAGTCACCTCAACTGCGATCATACTT